CAGGAAAGAGGATGTTTTAAAGGATTATTTCTTAGAGATGTTTTTTTGTTTTCTGAACTTTATTTCCTAGAGATGGTTGCATTTCAGTGACTAAGGAGTCCTGTCTAGCTGCACTTGTGTCAAGGGACTATCTCTGAAAACTAGGATTAATCTTGGCATTCATACTTCCTCAACAAGAAACAACCTACTTTTCCACTGATGGCGGAATGAGTAAATTGTGGTTTACTCATAAAATGAAACGGATAGACTTATACTGAGTCCCTGTTTCAAAACATAGATTATCACATTATCAAATGAGTTTCTGTGTTATTAAAATGTTTGATACCAAGTTTATTGGCATAATTAAAAATGGAATAATAATGAAAGAACCTCCCCGCTCCCCATTGCTTCCCAAAACCAGTGTAGTGGCCCTTTGATTCCTGTGATGACATCATATATATGCCACATGAATTCTTACAGCTGTCTCAGCACCACATGGATGGTTGTTTGTTTGGATTCTAATGAGGGCCAGATAGAAACCAGGAGGCTATGCAGAGCTGTGCTCCCAGCACAGGAGAAGGATGAGGAAACTGGGTTTTCTGGAGAAGGATGAGGATACTGGGTTCTTCTACTGCCACTTGCTTAGATGTGGAATTCTATAAGCTCTGTGTCACAGAGCTGCCCTGCACTACCATACGGGTGGGCAGCCTTGAGTTTAGTTTTAGCAATTTTGATATCCAATCAATCCACTTATACAAGATATAAAACTTTTTTATTTAATATTTTAATATTTGGTGTGGAATGATTTGTTTTCATGTATATGTTTTATTCAAATATAATGTTATATACAGATGTAATTTAACATGTGTTACAAAAACACATTGCTGAAGCCACCCTTCAAATTATGAAATAGAACCTAAGTAAGCATTATATTTTGACAATACATCCAACTAATTTTTAAACTCTCTTATTCTAATTTGTAGACTCTCTGGGTTTTTGGTTGTCTGAATAGATATGCCTATCATTGTACATAATTCAGACTTTGGTTCAGAAAAAATCTTTCCATGCTGATTTAGCTCTTCAATTATTATGTTAAATAGAAGTAGTGATTATAGTAAATATGTTTCTCAGGGGTCCAGAGAAAATGTTTCTTACGTTTCAATGTGGGGAGTGATGTTTGTTCTGGGTTTTCAGTAAAGACACTCAGGCCAGGTTAAGATGTTCCTTTCTTGTATTGGCTTGCTAAGATTCTTTGTTAGGAATTATGAATTTTATTGCATGCTTTATTTTTCCCATTACAGAAATCATAATACATTCTTTCACTTTGATCTGTTAGTGTGTGCTATGGCTTGAATGCCATCCTCTCTTCCAGAATTCACATTGAAAGTTAATCCCAGTCCAAGAATGTTGAGAACAGTCTTTAGGAGTGATTAGGCCATTGGGGATCTTCCTTTTGATGGGATTAGTGCCTTACAAAAGGATTGGTGGGAACTAGATAGGCCTTTTTTCTTTTCTACCTTCTGCTATGTGTGATCAGTGTTCAAGGTGCCATCTTGGAAGCAAAGACAGCATACCAGACAGCATACCTGCCAGTGCCTTGAGCTTGGATTTTCTAACCTCTGAAACTATAAGAAACAAATTTTCATGAGTCATTAGTTACCCAGTCCTTTATATTCTGTCATAGCAAAAGAAAGGGACCAAGATAATGTATTAAACCTTATGTGGACATTTTGTTTGCTAAGAGTTTGGAAGTTTTTCATTGTGAGATTGGCTTAGAGATTTTATCTATATTATTATTGTGTGATTTTGATATTAGAGTTCAACTTGCCTCATAGAATTTGGACCCACTCCTGTGAGGCTTTTGCCCTCACCACACTATTAAAATTCCTCTAATCGAATATGCCAATAGTTTTCATGTTGCTAAATTCAATGGTCAATTCTTAACCCTCATCTAATTTAACAGCAGCATATGGAATGTTTAATTACTTTCTTCTTTAACTTGATTTTGGACTGCACAGACTCCTGACTTTACTCCTACCTGTTAGGTTAATTCTTTTTTGGCCCGTGAGTTTTCATTTCCCTGATTTTTTGAGTGGCACTTAGAATCTTTTGTCTTTCTGTCTGAACTAACTGATGATGGTTAAAGATGATGATTTCAGACAGGTCCGGGGCTTTGAATGCCATCCAGATACCATCTACATCCCTTCCTCTGAACTGAACTCCTGTATCCAAATGCATACTCAAAATGCTCACTTAGATATCTAATGGCCATCACAAAAGTAACTCTGCCTAAACCAAATTTCTGATGTTGTCCTCCAAATCTTTTATTTGCATTCTTCTCCACAAATGGACACATTGTTACCTGTTTGAACATTGCCTTTTGCCTATTGCATTTTTTCTTCTACAAGATTAGATAGATGTTGGAAAGTCTCATACTATACCCTGTGTTTCAACCTTTGTCTGCACATGGAAATTATCCATTTAGAAGGAAAAAGACCTCTTGTTCTTATTTATTTTTTCAATTGTTTTTAACACTTTACTTGGGTCCACCTTTCAGTTAGCTCTCTTGCCATGTCTCCTTTGTAACTCAAACCTTCTGTTTTAGTTTTCAGTTATTTTATTTTTCATTTCTAAAAATTCTACTTACTTCTTTTTAAGTGAATCTGTTCATTTTTATTACATTAAATAACTTTTTTATATCAAATATTTATTTTGTATCATATAGCTGAAAATTTGATATTAAAGCCTTGGAAGACAAGAGACTATTGCTTGTTTCTGCTGACTCACACAACTAGTGCTGAATTATTTCTGTTTTTTTCTGATTTTAGATTGTGAATTTATATTTGTAGGCACTGTATCTGTGGGCTTTCTTTTTGAGGCCTGGATTAAGGGTATTTTTCTCCAGGGATCATTTTTGTTTTCTTCTGTAGGGCAGTAAGTAGTACTGACATGAATCCTCTTAAAAATACAATTATCAGAAATATCAACTATGTATATAACGCAGATTCAACTACCAAACCCTTGTCTATGACTACTAATTTACAAAAGAGATTTTAAAAAAACTCCTGTAGATAGCCATAGCTGAGATGGTAATTTTTATTCTGTCTTTTCAAATTTTCATTTTGTTTTAGTTCATTTTTTCTTTAAGGATGTAGCTTTTCAGAGACCCAGTCTCTAAGTGTGGTAGACTCTGATCAGACTCACTCCAGGCCAGGATTTGGCAAACTTTCTCTGTAAAGGGCCAGATGGTACATTTTCTTTGTGGCAACCACTCAACTTGACTTTTGTAGTTTGAAATCAGCCTTAGAAAATATCTTGACAAACACATGTGATTGTGTTTTAATAAAACTTTATTTACAATCTAGGTACTGCCACATTTTTTTTAATCCATTCATCTATGGAAGGGCATCTAGGTTAGTTCCACAGTTCAGCTATTGTGAATTGTGCTGCTATAAACATTGATGTGGCTGTGTTCCTGTAGTATGCTGTTTTTTAAAGTCTTTTGGGTGTAGACCAAGGAGAGGGACAGCCACAATGGAATATTACTCAGCAATAAAAGAGAATAAAATCATGGCAGTTGCAGGTAAATGGATGGAGTTAGAAAAGATAATGCTAAGTGAAGTTAGCCAATCCCAAAAACCAAATGCCAAATGTTTTCTTTGATATAAGGAGGCTGATTCATAGTGGGATAGGGAGCGGGAGCATAGATCAACTCTAGATAGGGCAGAGGGGTTGGAGGGGAAGGGAGGAGGCATGGGGTAATTGATGATGGTGGAATGTGATGATCATTACCATCCAAAGTACATGTATGAAGACATGAATTGGTGTGAATATACTATGTATACAACCATAAATATGAAAAAATTGTGCTGTATATATGTAATAAGAATTGTAATGCATTCTGCTGTCATATGTAAATTTAAAAAATTACATTAAAAAAAACTAGGTATCTGGTCATGTTTGGCTCAGAGCCATACTTTCATGAGCCCTGTTCTAGACTGCTGCTCCCACTTTGCTCCTGGCCACAAGAGGTTTCTTTTGCTTTTTCACCAACACATCCAATCATTTAAAAGTAGTTAAAAATATTTTAATAAACATTTTTAGATATTACGTAGCAGAAAATCTTTCATGGTTTCTATTCCATGAATAGTACCAGAAATAGAAGGTTTGCATTTAAATATTTACTTGCTGAAAAAATTTAGGGCAAGATGTCTCTAGCACATCTGGTGCTTCCTACAAGTCCAAATTTTTTTAGTAGGCCATAGCCAGATGCCTATTTTTCTAAATAAAGTTTTTTTGGAATACAACCATACCCATCCCTGTTTTTTCCCTAGAAGCTTTTTGTATCTGCTTTCCCTACACAACATGTCCTCCTATTAAACTGAGGTTCTTCAAGAAAGGGCCCTGAACTGCCATTCTGTCCCACTCCTGAATGCTTTTGTACATATTTCCTCCTTTTCTGGGTTGCCTGCTCTTCCTTTCCATCGGAAGTTTGGTGGATTTGTTACTCCTTTACCCTTTATTGAAAGCTCTTCTGCACAGCTCTCCTTTCCCAAAGCTGCTGCTTGGTCCTTGGTGTGCTCCCCAGAATTATGCCCATTATTACAACTGCCATGCTCCATTCTCATTGTTAGTTTTCCAGAATGCCTCCCTGTTAGGAGGGTGGGAATAAATGTCCTTTATCTTTAAATCCTCAGTGCTTGGCACATGTTTGTTATTCAATAAATGTTTTATTTATTTATTTGCTTTTGAAAAATTGAATTAATGACTAAGTAAATGAGTGCCTATTTAGGGAATGGAATTTTAAACAATTCTCTGTTTAAGCCTTCATGGTTTTAATCTTATCTCAATAATCATGACTAAATTAGAATCTCCTCAATCCAATCTTGTTTATTATTCTGGGTTAGTCAAACCTATATAACTCTGTAGTGAAACACACAAGGACACAGATTACTGCATGCATCATACCCAACCAGCAACAGGGAGGCCATTTATTGTCTTCTAAAATAAAACAAAAGACACAGTGCTTTGTTTCTCTTTTATTGCAACCCATTGCAAGGTCAAAAGATTCACGGAAATATAGAAACTACAAACCGGGTGAATTTTCTTTATCCACTCAAAAAGACATTAAAGACAAAGGACCAGAATTTTCCACTACAGCAATATATTTCATAGGCTTTATTCTGAAAATACTGTTGACATTTTGGAGAGGATAAAAAGTCCTGCATTAAACGTGTTCACATGTATGGATGACATTCTAAGCAAAAAAAGAAACTATATTGCCTAGAAAAATTATTTTAAGCCTCATTTCAAAGCATCTAATGAGAACACATTCAACAACCATCACAGGATCACTTGAGGTGATGCTTTTTCTGGCTGTTTTTTTTTTCTTTTTCTTTTTGAGATTAATGCTTTGAGGCTGGATATGTTATTTCTACAGATTTCTACAATATACCAAGGCAGTTTTCCAGGTTATGTTGTATCAGGCTTTTGGATTAGTCAACATTTTAAAGAATAAGTGCAGTCCCCCAGTACCCCCCTCCCCCCACCAAGCTAAAGCATGTTATAGTGCTGTACTTTAGATTCAAACAATTTAACATTAAAAAAAAATCAATTATACACTCTGAAACCATTTGACAACCAAACTGTAACACTCCAAATGTTATTACAACTTTGAACTGAAATTGTACCATCTATATCATAGATGGTTCTCCCTTCTTTTGTCCTTTTTAAAAACTATTTAAAATATAGTGTGACATATATAAAAATTAAACTTTTGTTTATTCACTCAAGCTACTATTACTATACATACTGTCTTATAAATTAGTTTTGGGTTAAAAATCAGTTAAAATATTGTGAAATAAGATTTTTCAGTGGTGGAAAAATGGATATGGAAATGATACAGTTCAATGTGTAAGAAGAAATACAGTTTATTAATGGTAAACATCTTTTTATTATGAAAATTTTACTCCCTTCAAATTAAATTACTAACCCATTTAGCTATGGGAAAAATATTCTTGGTGCTTATTGACTAGATTTTCTTAACTGATTGGGATTAAAACAAAAAATGCCACATCAGAAACATGTTGACATAATCAAAGGAAACAGTTGTTTACAAAAAGGAGTCGTTATAAATACATGAATGACATTCAAATATAAGGCTATCTTTTGTTTCTTACAGCTAGTATCACTTTAGCAATATGGAATTTATAGGAAATGCACTCAAACCTCAGTATATCTGTTAAAGATCAAATAACAGTTATGTCCACATCAGGGAAGAATAAATAGCAAATTCACAAGTCAGGGTTTTGCTTCTAGTTCTACTGAGAAAGATAATCACTCTTTAGCTTAAAAAGGCTCCCTGCTGTCTTGATTATAAATCTAGACATACGAAAGGTTATTTGAGCCTAAGTCCCTATAATGAATTAATTGTAAAGATGTGTGAAATCAAGACATATATTCATTTACTGATAGGTACTGTCTTAACTGAAAGCTGGCAATCTTTAATTAAACAAAAATACTTATTTCTGGCAAGTGTAAACAGAATCTTAGTGAACAGATTTTCTAATTTTTTTTCTTTTTAACTCTTACATTAGCTTGCAATAGATCTTTGCAGTAGCATAAGAACTATTCAAAAAATGACATGCACATATCCAAAAAATCTGTTCTAAAACCCAAAGCAAAAGAAAAAAAAAATTCAGTAGGAAGATTGTCTACTTGTATCTCACTCATTAATCTTCTATTAATGTGACTACCCCCAAATTTCAGAAAAATGCTTTCATAATTACCAAAATTAACAAAATAATGAAATGATCTGTAGATTTTTAATAACTGCTCACCATTAATTACACTGGTGGCTTCAATGTGGATAATGCTAAGATTAGCTCCAAATATCACTAAAATATATCCTGACCAGTTACAAACCACAACATAAAAGCTAACACAATGTTAATGCAAAACCAAGTAAAATATTTAGTACTCAACAGAATGCATTTGTAGAATAATGAATAATTAACTTCTATGAGCTGGCCAGGGGAGTTCAGATTGTTGCCTCCATATAAAAAATTTACAAAAGGCTTTATTCTCTCTAGTCTCTAAGTCGCCCACCAGATAGCAAGTTGACCACCTGTGGACACAATGAGTTAGAGAGAGTCACACAGGATGACATGCTCCCCAGTGGCCTGGATGAAGGCCACTCTGTCAGGAAATGATTTACAAAGAAACCACCCGAGTGTGTGTGTGTGTGTGTGTGTGTGTGTTTACCCACTTGTAGGGGTACATGAAAGTTGCAGGTAACTTACTATGTATATATGTGTGGGGAATTTTGAAGAGTACTGGTTTCTAGGCTTCTAATTAGTGCAATATCACTTCTGTTCTGGTTTCACCAGTAGAAGCACACATTCTACACCATCAAAAAAGAAACTTGTCTTTTGGGATCTCCAAAAGTGGCAGAAATTAGAAGCTCAAAGTAATACGTCTAATTCTTTGACTCTATATTGAAACAAAGAATTATTTTATTTTTAAGAGAAATAAGCCTTTGAACATAAAAACTAAAAGGTTTGTGGCTTTCATAATCTTCAATTTTTAAGAAAAAAAGCCAGCCCACCTGGTAACAGATAATGTGCATTACACTATGCAGTAGGCAAACAAGACATGAATATACACACTCCTGCACGCACGCTGACAGGTGACAGTCAACACCTTTCCAGGAAATCACTGCCCTGCTGAATGATCCAAGTGGACCTATGCATGGGCAGGAGTGTTAGGAGGAGGCAGCAGACATGTTGGGGGTCCAGCCCATCTGGTAGGCTCTCTCCAAGGTCCTCTTGCAGTCCTGCAGGACAGTGCTGAATGTGATGTGGGGATACTGTTGCACCAGTTGTTCCACTGTCACTTCATTGACCTGCAACCCAAGAAGCACACCATTATTCACAGGGACCACCAATACCATGCAGCTGTCCATGCTCACTGGCACACTGTGGCCTTCTGATGGCATGACAACCCTCTACTTGTTTCTTCTTAGAAATGTGGGAAACTGTTTTGTGAGAAGATAGGCTTTTCTTTTGTCTCACCTCTCTGATTTCTCATTGCTATCCTTACCCTCACACATTTTTTCTTTTCATTTTTTTGCAGTACTGAACTAGGGCCTTGGGCATACTAGGCAAGTGCACTACTACTGAGCTACACCCCAACCCATGGATCCTTTTTTCAAGACATAATCTCAAAAAATCAAATGTGTTTTCTAGAAGTACAAACAATTGTGATTTTTGTCAAGATCTTAATAATGTCCATTGAAAATCTAGTGCTTGAGAGGTAAGGAAATAATAAGATAGCATTCTAATGCACATTGACATCCTTTTTAGGACAAATACTGTACAAAGTGGGAGAGGATACACAGGATTCTAGATTGAAGTACTAGGGAAAATGTTTATTTTTCTTCCCTTTAAATGTTAAGGCATTACAAACTTCAAGTCCCTTTGTGAAAAGGGCTGAAATGTGAGGAATCAATAATTAAAACATACATGGCTGGCAGGTCAGGGATGGCCCCACTAGACCTTAACCATCAAAGATACCACCTTGATTCTTGATTAGACAAGGCAATCAGACAGGCCTAATTAAAACTAACACCTTTACAATTGCTGTGCTGTGAAGGGATTAATTTGTCAATTATTTTTAAGCTGATTGCAGTTCATATCACAGAAGTCGACAGCTTCCTTCATCCTTTAGATAAATAAATGATTAACCTGAGAACCACAACTTTTAGTAGCTTTATTTAAAATCTTTATTGAACACTTGGGCATTTTCAGATATATCAATATTTCATTTATACTAAGTAAGCTATATTAAGTGAGTCTAAAAGAAGGCTCTTGTAATACATGTTTTTGAGAATCCCCCTTGATGTCCATTATTTAAAAAGATCAGGACCACCAGGAAAAACCTGAAACAACATCAAACCCCTACTGTTTGCTTTGAAAACCTGATCAGAAATATGATGATCATGAAGTTAGTTGTCTGTACTTTTCTGAAATAACAGTTGTCTGTACTTTTCTGGGTGATCTGGAAAAATATGTTCCATGTTATTGTTTTTAATATTGAGAACTAATATTATAGCCTTGTGCTTAATGATACTTAATCTCTGTTGGGACAATTCTCTGTTTAAGACTTGCTTGTTGGAATCCTGCTTTCACTTTACTTCTTTAACATTTGATTTCTTTGACTGTAAAAACAGGATAAAAGTACTTATGACAAAGTCAAATGTTCTCTCTTATATGGGGATGATCACACACAACAAGGTGTTGGGGAGGGGAAGAACAGAAGCTCAGTGGAAAGGGGAATGAAGGGAAGGGATGGGGGAGAGGAATAGCAAAAATATTAGAATGAATCAGATATAACTTTCCTACGTACATATATGAATACACCACAGTGAATCTTTATGGCATGTACAACCATAAGAATGAGATTCTAAGTAGAATAAATTATACTCTATGTATGTATGATATGCCAAAATATACACTACTGTCATGTATATCTAAAAAGAACAAATAATAATAATAATAATAAATAAATAAATGTAATAATTATAGCTAACATAAAGAGTCCCCTAAGTGGTAGCTCTTACTATTGCAGCAGGCACTCAATACATGGTTACTAAATGCGAGTTAGTTAATAATATGGTAGGGCAACCTATGCTCTATAGTGCTAATAAATATTGTTTTACCTATGAGATATTTCAGAACTAAACCTTGATAACTTTGGTTGTAATATTCAAAACAAAATAATCATAGGGGGAAAAGTAATCTTTAGAACATATTTTATACACAAGAAGAATCTATTTCATTAAAATGTTTTTTACAGGAGATGGAGTGCTGTGTGTGTGTGTGTGTGTGTGTGTGTGTGTGGTGCTAGGGATTGAACCCAGGGCCTTGTGCATGTGAGGCAAGCACTCTATAACTGAGCTATATCCCCAGCCCCAGAACTTATTTTAATTTCATAGTCCAGGTTTAAAATATTCACTGTTAGGAAATTCTCCCTTTCCTTTAACTGTGGTTCACTACAGTTGGTTACCTTTCTTCCTCCCACCACAAACCCAGAATGATGCAAGTTTTACTGAACGAAAGGTGAAGGCATTTGGTCAGAGAACCTTCAGAAAATCTGCATTGCACTGCAAAAGAAGGATATGTCATCTAAACACTTAGCATTCAAGGAACCTATTAAATAAAAAATAGATGAGAAAAGAATAGAGAAGAAAAAACATTTAAACCTACTATAAAGACACAGGAACTATTTTCTGTGGTACATTTTTTTCCTATCTACACATGGGTCTGTACAAAGTTTTGTATGTAGGGTTGACAGGCAATTTATTTTGGAGAGCCAATTTTTAAAAACAGAAAATATCTCTGTGATAACTGTTTCCTAGGAAAAGGCATATAATTCACCTTAAACAAACCTGATATGTGAAGATATGGATTTATGGAGTATATAAATTGGGGATAATTTTTCACCTTAGTAAAAATTTTCATGGTAGGGTTAATTTATTTTGTCAGCTCCCCTAATATATTTTATATATCCTTTGATTTATCCACGTTCAATTTATTTATTTCTGTTGCATAAAGGAAGGTACATCTGTAGTTGAGAACAGAGATGATGCTATGTTAATTCTCTGACTTTCACAGGTATAGCTAAGAAAAAACAAGTTGGTTTCTTTTAATTGTATGAGAAAAAAAAATGGTGCCACTAGTCCTCTGTGAATATAATGTGTCTTCTAATTCTAAGCAGTCCTTTAGCTAACTGTGCTCTGTAAATTCTAGAAAACAACACAGAAGGGAAGATGCGAATATTCCATTTTAGAGCTTTGTTGGGTAGGAATTATTCAGGGAAACACATATTCTCACACTAGGGAAAGTTCTATCTTTTACATAAAATGTCCCCTGGTGATATAGCAGGACAAATTTTATATTAAAGTTATGTTCATTTACTTCTCAGAAGTACAAATCATGTTCATCTCCTCTTTGTATGGACCCCATAAGTGTTTTGGTGCTGTAGAGGAGTTCAGTGAAAGACACCAGGAACGTTCATTTTAAATCCTACAGTCACACACAGATTTCCAGAGATTTTTGTCATGCGCAATTCCGCTTGCTGGAATAAAGAGGATCGTTCTTTGTTCCAACTCATAAAATGTATGCAATATAAAAAAGGGACCATGGAGATAAAGGTGTTTTTTTTTTTTTTTTTCAGAATTTCCCCATGATTCCTGGTTTTCTGTATTCGGTTTTCCCCCTCTTGCTGAAAACTATCAATGGCAATTCCTACATTACACATGATATGTGAAAAATGCAGTGTATCTTCCTAAAGAAATATGCAGGAGTGTCATTTGAAGAAATTACTGTGATTAAAGGGGGGGGGGAAAGCATGTACCATAGGTGTTTTAAAAAAATATATGAAAGATTGGATTTTATAGTTCTTTCTAAAGACTGCATAACCATAATTTAAATTTTCAAAATTATTATAACTCTTTTTAAGGTAGTAGCAATTTGTCTGGTATTTTAATCTATTTTGAGTTAACATCTATTAGCACTTTTTGAAAATGTGAGGCAAATTGCTATGCTAATTAAGGTAAATCACACCATAATTTCATTATATTGCTGCCGCTGATGCTGCTATGGAAGGGTGAGGAGAGAACCCTGAGAGTTTGGGAGATTCAATTTAACCAATTTATCTAGACCATCATAGTTCCCTCTGCTTCTTATCAGTATTTTCTCCAAAAAGCTCCAGGTAAGTAGAAGCCTAGGCTGGAATTATTTTCTTAATCATACCTGTTTTTCAAAAAATACAATTTCTGGTACAATTTGCTGAATAAATCATTTACATTGTGATTTTTATTCCCTCTTTAATTCATGTTATAAAACAGGACATGTTTCTTGTTAGGAGAAGAAATATGACATCTGAATACATTAGATCACAGTTAAGAATAAACCATTTAAAGTCACTTATTCTTTAATGGAGGAAGTTTTCCTACAAAAAATGAACACTGTTTAAAATTCCAACAAAATACATTATTCCTAGAGTGGGGCTGTAGCTCAGTGGTAGAGCACCTGTCTTACACGTGTGAGGCACTGGGTTCAATCCTCAGCAACACATAAAAATAAATAAATAAAGACATTGTGTCCATCTACAACTAAAAAAATATTTTAAAAAATGCATTGTTCCCAGAGAGCTAAGTTCCTTAGCAACAAAGAGTATTTTAGTTATCTCTTTGTTTTCAGTCCTACACACACTGATAAATTCTTACCCCATTAGAATATGAGTTCCATGAGACAGAAATTTCTGTTGTTTTGTTCATTGCCAAATCCCTAGTATTCAGAGCACACCTAGCATAGAGTACATACTCAATAAATATCTCCTGGATAAATTAATATAGGAGTTGCTTAATGAATATGTATTATGTGGAAAAGCAATACTAATATATCCGAAATTCTAGAGATAAATTAATCTTGTTCCAATATTATGGCAGCTACAGTAGTAGCAGCTTAAAAAGTCTTGACATGGCAACCCCAAATTCCTTAATTCTTTGAAATTCATACCATAGTGATTCTTTGGGCTGTTATCTTTTCTGTCTGATATCACTGGGTACTTCTTTTTAGATGCACCTTTTCTGGAGCTTTCAGTAATTTCTCACAGGAGAATGAAGTAGCTCATGATGGTGGTTGAGCAATTTTTGCTGGGTTGGTGTCCCTCAGGTTAGTACTCAAGAGATGACTAAGATATACTTTGGATTCATTGATGGTGATCCTCCTTGTTGGAGATCAATAACACTTACAGACATTCTAGTGATACTAGATGTGAGCAGGATTCCAAAACTTTGCACAAATACCCACACAGTTCAGAGGACTTGATACTTTAGTT